CCTTATCACTCGCTCCAGTATATTATTTTACTGTGTAATTTTGGGACCATTTTCTTAATCATCAGATTCTTAACACATTTTTCTTCTATGAGGAGATCTGATTGTATAGTATACCCTGGATTTCGTCTAAGTTCTTCACTTTTACCATACCTACGTATCTGCACTTTATCAAATTAATTTAACAGTTATTTTCCGTTGCCCAATCGAAGTATTTAATCATTTATATAGACTTATTTCTTCAATGTCTTCTGCCAAGGAAACTTTTATGTTGATTTTAGATGACACAAAAATGTAACTTGTGTTATCTAAATCTGATCTTTGAATGAGAAAAAGCAGTGGTGCAAGGACTTTGCCCTGAACACATTAAAGATCAATGATTCAAACGAATTCTTTATGAATGTGAAACCATCATCAAACCATGCTCAACATAATCCTAGCAAGTATAAGAAATATTGCCGGAACAACGGTGGACATCTTCAAGAGAAAACTAGATAGTTTTCTTAGTGCCAGAAGTGCCTGACCTGGCGGGCTGTGGTAGATATGTGGGTCTGCGGGCCGCTCCAGCAACAGCCTGGTGGACCAAGCTCTCACAAGTCAGGCCGGGCTTGGGGAGTAGAAGAACTCCCAGAACCCCATCAGGCAGGTACCGTGTATCGAATGTCACCCTAATCACATCGGACTCTGAAGTGGCCATAGCCCATACGCTTTGCACCAGGGCAACTCCTGGAGTTCTATATTCATCAAGAAGAACAAAAGACCACACCAAGGCCCTAAATATCTTAATAGAGACGGAGCCTAGATACTGGTGTTATCCCAGACATATTTAAAACAGCGGAGATCGTGATTGTGTCTATGGCGCCTCTACTCCTCACTGGTTCTATTCTACATTTCCTTCCGTACGTTTCGTTCCTTGGTACCAAATTTAGGACTTGGCCTTCCAGTTATCTACATAATCCCGGACAACACAGGTTCAGAACAGGGCGCTCCTGCCCCCCTCTATTGCTAGATCACTACGGCACGGCCTTAGGTGCCATGGAAGACGAGCAAAACGCAGATGTTTTAGAGAAACATCTGCGTTTCATCATCATACACAGAAACATCATACACAGACTTTACAAAAGCTTTCGACAAATGTGACCATGGTGTTATTGCGCACATAACGCACTCAAAAGGTTTTACTGGTGAAGTAGGGAGATGGATCTTCAACTTCCTAACGAAAAAGAGTTCAGTGTAATAGTCAACACAGTAAAATCCGTATCATCTATGAAAGCTCAGGCCCCCAAGCTACCGTACTTGCTCTGGCACTTTTTCTCATCCTAATATCAGATAGACAGGGATACAAACTACAGCACTGTATCATTTGCAGATGACACTAGGATTTTCATGCGAGTAGACAATTATAGATGAGACAGCAACCTCCAATCTGGTGTTAATTGGGGTTTTCAATGGGCAACAGGAAATAATATGACGTTTAATGAAAATAAATTCTAGCTCCTGCGGTATGGAAAAGCTAATATAAAACGGAAACCATATATAAAACGCAGTCAAATCATATTCTATCGCAGTTTAATGGATCTAGTAGTAATAATGTATGAAGATCTTACCATTACAGAACACAATAAACTGTCACGACTGCAAGAAAAATGACAGGTTGGATAACAAGAACCTTTCAAACAAGGGATGCCATACTAATGATTTTTTTAAGACACTAATGCTCCCTAGTGGAATATTGTTGCACACTAACAGTTCCATTCAACGCCAGATAAATTGCTGACCTGGAGTGTTCATAGATCCTTTACTGCTAGAACCCACTCTATAAAACATTAAATTATTGGGAGCGATTTAACGATTTAAATCTGTATTCCCTTGAGCGCAGACGAGATGCACAATAACGTAAACATGGAAAATATTAGAGGGACTGGTTCCGAAGCTGCACACGGAAATAACATCACATGAAACCAGTAGGCATGGTAGGATGTGCTACCCCATTGAAATGCAGAGGTGGAATGGGTATGGTGAGAGAGAACTGTATCAACACCAAAGGCCCAAGACTTTTCAACATTCCCGCTACATGTAAGGAACATAACTGTCCAACCTCTCACTGTGATCAAGAGAGAACTCGATAAACATCTACAAATTATTGATCAATCAAGCTGTGACTCATACATCACGATGCGAGCAGTTGCGTCCCACAGCGTGGTTAACCACACGACCTACCAGGAGGCCTAGTCAGAGACCGGGCCACAGGGACGTTGATCCTCGGACCCACCACAAGGTAACCAGGTAGATGGGGAATTAAGCTTTTAAGTGTGCTGGGACTTTGTTTTATTCGACTTACTATTTGCCTTCTGTTTGACAGGAAATTAAATCTCCATTGCCCTACTTTGGCCGTGTTTCCTATTAGTTCCATGGCTCTCTCTTCATGGTCACATTTATGTCTTTGTAAAGTTGGTCTATACAACATCTGCTTTTGGGTTTTCTTTTAATGCATTCGATGACTGTGTCATAGTGGTTGGGTAATTGCAAATGACAGGATCTTCCCGTTCGAAATCAAAGTTAACTACTAGCAGTGGTCAACTTTTATTTAGATGGTCATTATACTAGGCCACTATGAGTGGTGAAGGTGGTCACCCACCCACCCAGCAGCAGCAGCAGCAGCTCCAGCCCGTGTGTAAACAGGACCTGGTAACCAAGTGGAGGTCTGGCATCCAGCGCCCCAAGACGGGAACACCAGGTACTTGTGTTGCATGCCAACCACACTACCTCTCTCAGCCGGAACTGCCGGTACCGGCTGTCTATGGCAGCAGGCCCGCTCATTGTAGTCACCACGCTCCTACAATTTACTCAAGGATCTTCCCCATCTCCGAGAATGACGGGACTGCAGAATATATCGCTTTACTTAAACGATTGACAACATTACACGAATTATTCATTAAACTTTGTGAAGATCTAACGTTTATATTAGAGAGCGTTTCTGGAAGCATTCCCTCAATGTGTAGATGATGGCTTCACTGTCTCGACACAGATCATGTAATAATGTCTTGGCCATCACGTCGGACGGCTCTCATTGCTGATATTTAATTAAAAAATTCTCCTCGTGTACGTACTTCACTGCTGTGCCCTTAAGACGCACGAAGAATGGTCTGGGCTTCATGTTTCTTTCATTTTTATTAATGATCACGTTGTCATTCATATCCGGTTATACAGGCTGCCAAGCCATGCTGGCTGGCGCTCGTGGGCGCTCAACCTCCATACACAGCTGGACTAAGAGAGGCGGCGACAGCGTTAGTTGCAGTCCTCACAGTTGGGTTGGTAGTTCGGCGCCTGGCAGCTGAGTGGACAGCGCTTCGGATTCGAAGTCCTGAGGTTCCGGGTTTGATCCCCGGTGGAGGCGGAGACAAATGGGCAAAAAGTTTCTTTCACCCTGATGCCCCTGTTACCTAGCAGTAAATAGATACCTGGGAGTTAGACAGCTGCTACGGGCTGCTTCCTGGAGATGTGTAAAAAGGAGGCCTGGTCGAGAACCGGGCCGCGGGGACGCTAAGTTCCGAAATCATCTCAAGATAACCTCAAGAAGTCCTTTCTGCTCGAACTAAGACCAATCTATCTAGATAAATATATCTCACAAAAACGTATCAAGACAAGTATTGAATACTAGATTGTACCTGGATGCGGAATTCTGTTCATTGGAGCGGCCGGCAGGCCCACATATCCACCACAGGCCGGTTGGTCCGGCACTTCCTGAAGAAAATTATCCAGTTTTCTCTTGAAGATGTCCACGGTTGTCCGGCAATATTTCTTATGCTCGCTGGAAGGATGTTGAACAACCGCGGACCTCTGATGTGTTCTCTGATTGTGCCCATGGCACCTCTGTCCTTCACTGGTTCTATGCTGCATTTTCTTCCATATCGTTTACTCCAGTCTGTTGTTATTTTACTGTGCAGATTTGGGAACTGGCCCTCCAGTATTTTCCATGTATTATTTGCAACCCATCCTCCTGTTCAGATAGTACAGTACCTATTATGATTATCGTCAATAGTCAGAATTATTATGGTCTTAGATTTTCAATATTAGTATACTGACTAGTAAGGAATTAATATCTACCTCTCCAGGAAAGCCAGGGGCCACGAGCCCCATGCACATACCCTGTGGGGCAAGTGCTGCTGCTGCTACAGTCTGAGGCCCTGCAGCAATGTGACAAGCGCGGTACGGTATGCCACTTACATTTATGTCAGCCAAGTATATCATCAGGGATGACAAATATTTAACAAGTAAAATTAAATAAGCTGGATAACTTGATCAAGAGGAAGCTGCATAAAAGAATAGTTGACGACAACAGCTAACACACAACACAACAGCAAGCAGTAAACCTCGCTAGGTGAGGTGTCATATGATCACTACTCTTCTACCTCTGCCTCCTCCTTGGCTTCAGACCCTTTACCCACCTCTAGGTACATATCCTTCATCCTCCTCGCCACCATCATATCCATATCCCCCAGATATGAGGTAACAGTTAAAGTTGGTACAACCCTTTTCTAGTGTCCTGCCGAGTATGTATATGTATGTGTGATTTATCAAGTCAACTGGTGTGCACTTTAAAAGAGAGGGAGAGAGAGAGTGTTAAGTGTTATACTAAGTGTGAGCCATGGATGTGACGAGAGGCAGCCAGCGCTGCAGTGAGTGTACCTTCTGACTCACCCAAGGCTGAATCACGCTTGGGAAATTATCATGCTGCTAAAATACACACACAGGTAACACTATGAAAGTGTCGTGTGAGAATTAGTAGGCAAAAAGTACTCAACACCACAGCACAAACTCACAAGCAGGAGAGAGCTGGGAGAGATTAGCGGGTAATGATTCGTTCTCACTCACTCACCCCTCTCACTCACACACACACACAACACACAACACAACACACAGAGGGAGGCCAGCATCACACCCATGGCTCGCACTAACAAGTAAAGTTGACACAAGTCTACGTGCAAAACACAATTCCTCACCCTAACTCGGTGTCCCTTCTCGGCGGCCTTGCTCGACGCCTTGCTCTCACTCACCTGCAAAACAAATGTAAGCAGGACACGGATCAAACACCTGTATACAATATTACCTTTATAATACAATTTGCAAATAAAAATATAAAGAACTTTAAAAATATAATACCACCAATTATTACACTTAAATATTTAAATCATTACATCATACAATAAAGTTATTATACATTAAAAGTAATTATTATTTACAGAAAATAATATATAAAGTATTTCACCTTCAAGCCAAAAATGAGAGTACTTGTGCCAGCTGTGACTGATAAACAACAACCCGCACTAAGCCTAAACTAGCAACCATACGCCATCTGAGGCCTAATTTAGTATATATATATATATATATATATATATATATATATATATATATATATATATATATATATATATATATATATATATATATATATATATATATATATATATGCAATTGACGATCACAAAACACTGATCATTTTATGCGGAAAATCCACAGAGAAATATGAAATGAGGTGAACGTTTCGGCTTTGTTAAAGCCTTTGTCAACACCAGACTGACTAAGGAGAAGGGAGAAGGGGGGAAGATATATAGGCCGACACCTGACCACCCCATCCCAAGGGTTGGTCAGGTGTAATTAACCAAAAACAGGTATAGCTTAGCTTAGAATGGTCAAAGAGGATTAAGCGGTCAGAGAATAAGGATGAAAGATTAAAGAAAAGCCTCATGAACACACAATATATGAATATACAATTATAATGAGACATTGTAAGCCTCTCTATCAAAGTTGTTTCTTAAACTGTTGTGCAATATTATAACTTAAAAATGGATCAAGTTTGTACATTCCAGTACTAACATTAAGAAGATTTGGACACTGACTGATTAGAGCAGACTCAATCAAATTCCGTTCCACGAAATCCCCACAATTGGATTTCGCTTGCTTGCTTGGGGCAAAAAGCATTACCAATTGTGGGGATTTCGTGGAACGGAATTTGATTGAGTCTGCTCTAATCAGTCAGTGTCCAAATCTTCTTAATGTTAGTACTGGAATGTACAAACTTGATCCATTTTTAAGTTATAATATTGCACAACAGTTTAAGAAACAACTTTGATAGAGAGGCTTACAATGTCTCATTATAATTGTATATTCATATATTGTGTGTTCATGAGGCTTTTCTTTAATCTTTCATCCTTATTCTCTGACCGCTTAATCCTCTTTGACCATTCTAAGCTAAGCTATACCTGTTTTTGGTTAATTACACCTGACCAACCCTTGGGATGGGGTGGTCAGGTGTCGGCCTATATATCTTCCCCCCTTCTCCCTTCTCCTTAGTCAGTCTGGTGTTGACAAAGGCTTTAACAAAGCCGAAACGTTCACCTCATTTCATATTTCTCTGTGGATTTTCCGCATATATATATATATATATATATATATATATATATATATATATATATATATATGCTCTGTACTAGGCCTATGAATGTTTACATTTGGTTGTTGCCTTCTTCCTCGTACCCTCTACAAAATTAATAATACAAAAATTTTGTTATAAGAGGATGGGAAGGGGGTAGGGCTGGGGAGGGGTAAGGAGGGGGAGGGGGAGTGAGTGGGTAAGTTATAGGGAATTTTTGCACGTTCGGCCAATAGTTGCCACAAGTACTCTCGTATCTGGACGACGGGTTAATACTTTATAGTGACGCAACAACATTAAACAAAAATAAAAAGTAGCTTTAGTGTCCGAGACAACTATTGGAATAAATTATATACATGCACACTTGCACTGTTATATACAGTACACATTACAAGGAAATATGGAGTCATATTCAATGAAACATGTATAAATGAAAACCTGCTGCTAATATACACACACCCCATAAATGACTAACCCAGAACGCCAGGAGCAATATGCAGCTGGTGTACACGGTACCTTACCCACTCGACCATCAGTGACCGTACAAAAGACGATGATAGCCGAGGCTATTTCATCACCGTCCCGACGGCACTTTGATGAGAATCTTGAACATAGTTATTTCATCAAATTATCTCACTTTGTGTTGCTCACGTGGACCCACAAAGTGAGGTGATTTGATGAAATAATTATTCCCAAGAGTACCATCAAAGCCGTCGGGACGGTGGTCAAATAGCCTCGGCTATCATCGTCTTTTATACGGTCACTGTTGATCGAGTGGTTAAGATACCATGTACACCAGTTGCATATTGCTCCTGGCGGTCTGGGTTCGAGTTACTTCTGGGGTGTGGAGTTTTCAGTTGCATATATGCTTGGAGACCATTCACACTTGTTCGCATTTGTGTTGCTCACGTGGCCCCATGTATGTATGCATAATTATATAATATTATATATATATATATATATATATATATATATATATATATATATACATACATACATACATACATACATACATGCATACATACATACATACATACATACATACACACACACACACACACACACACATGACATTGTCAGACCACAGAGGAAGAACTGAAACAGGAATTTCCTTAAGTACTTTCGTATATTAATACAGCTTCAGAAGGAATGATTAATTAGATTCCTTCTTAAGATGTATTTATATACGAAAGTACTTAAGGAAATTGTTCCTCCGTGGTCTGACACTGTCACATTTTTCATCACGTTAATTTTCGTGATTCACACACACACACTTATTAAAGTCATGCATGTTGGCGAATATATACAAGTAAATAATCAAAACATAACATAATATATATGAACACAAAACCCCAGGAAGCAGACAAATATCCAAGCTTGTCGTGTTGGTCACATCATAATAGCATTATGAACGACAGTGCTTGGATATCACTACTGTATTGCCAACAACAGTACGCACATGCGCACAAGCACGCCTTTAAATACACACATACAACAACGTCATACTAACACAAGCTACTACGGGAAAAATACCAGTGTGCTTAGACCTAAGGCGACAATGTTTTTGTTTAACATTATCTTGGAACTGCTGCCACGACTGTGTACAACACACCGTAGCGGGTGCCCCACCTCGTGCACCGTCACCGTGTTGACCACCTACACTGCCGCTCACCCTGGCCCCTTCCTTCCCTTACTATGCATAGCAACATTTTTTAATAACAAAAATTACAACTTTTCAAAGTTTGACAATACCTTTTCTGCATTAATGTATATTTAGAAGTTAGTTTAATATATATACACGCGTGAGCGCGCGCACCCCACCCACACATTTATGGATTACATTTTGCATATTGGTTATGTTGAAACCTTCCAGTTAGGAGGCCTGGTCGACGACCGGGCCGCGGGGATGCTAAGCCCCGGAAGCACCTCAAGGTTAGCGCGAAGAATACACTCGTTAGTGTGAAACACACACTCAGCCTAACTGCCCACAAAGAACAAGACTCGACAAAAGACGATTCTAACATCGGTTAAAATTAATCGTTCGTAATTACATTGTTCATGCATGGCTATTGATTCATGCATATATTAATTACTGTATTTAAAGGTTGAACTCTTCACAGTTTACTACTGAAAGAAAGATGTTAGGTTGGATAATGAACTTTCCCAGGCAGAAATGGCACGCCAAAAGTGACAGTAAGACCTAGCTAGTGTCACTAAGAAACTAGCTAGGGCCACTAGAACACCGGCTAGGGCCACTAAGACACTGGCTAGGGCGGAATACTGCAACACATTAACTACCACAATTTATTCCATTCACCCCCACTGAATGGGTCTCGAACCGTGGTGAATACAGTCCAGGTGAATGGAATGTTTATTCCACGGAAGTGTGGATGGCAATTTATAGCACAATTTATCCCAAGTTAATTTACTTGATCGGGAGAGCAGGAAGACCCAAGGAAACCCCGTTTAATTCTTCTTCTTCTTGTGCATGTTTAATTGCTTGCCTGATACTTCTGCCTAATTCTTAATATCTAATTTGTGGGTTACAAAATGATCACGTCACAAGAATTAAAAAATATATATTGAATATCTTAACCCATATAATTTATCACTTTACTATACAACAAGTACTCACTGAGGAGACGACGAGTCACAACGTGGCCCAAATGACGACCAAACCACAACTCAGAAGATAGAGAAGCTACGACGTTTCGGTCCGTCCTGGACCATCACATGACTTTATAATGGTCCACGACGGACCGAAACGTCGTCGCTTCTCCATCTTCTGATTTGTGGTTTGGTCATCAAGTACTCACTGCAATTACTTTGTAAAAGTTGCACTGGAACCCATCTTTTAGAAAATAAAAATTTAAGAGGTAGATAGGAAGGGTGTGAATGTGTTTGTTTTTAGTACTGTATGAAGGCTGGACCTGATCAGCCAAGTAATTGCAAGTGTTGGCAACCCAGTTGTGAATATCATACACCGTTCAACTAAATTTAAACAAGTCACTCCTATACTTCAACAACCTTTGTTTCCCCACGATAATCTTATAAAAACAATACTTCACTTATCTCACTCAGGGTATCACTCAAGGTGAGGTAAGGTACTCACTTATCTCACTCAAGATGTAACCTATCTTATACAACTTAACATTAAACTCTTCCTATTACAGCAAATGACTAATCACGGTGCGCCAGCACTATATTATAACTAAGGAGTGCATCAACAATCATCCACACACGATCTAGACTTGTCGCAGTGCGACGTGATCGATCGATAGTGCGATCAGGTGGAAGTGCACACACACCCACCTGTGTGGCATGGCAGCCATCTGCCGCTACATCAACAAGCTGAATGTTGAGCAAATAGTCTATTGAACCTCTCTCTTCCCCAGGGAAGACCTTCACTACCCACCTCAGATGCATAACATTACAACACATGGAAGCCATTATCAAGGCCCTGACACTGCTGCTGCCTGTATACAAGGCCGCCATTCCTAGATTAAAGAGAGACTGCCCATGCGTGGAAGTGCTCCTGTAGGCCGCGCCCCGCCCCCACAACCAGCCTTGAGAGCACCGACGCCCAAAAAGCGCTACCATGAACAGCTTGTGCAAGCGTTAGTT